AAAAAAAAAAAAAAAAAAAAAAAAAAAAAAAAAAAAAAAAAAAAAAAAAGCGACAGATAAAGAATCTTCAGAGGCACAGGCAAATATGCTGAAATGAAAGTAAGTTTCAGAGTGAAAAAAACATTATCCAAATTTGTTTATAAAGCATGAAAAGAAGAGTCCAGTGGAGAAGCTCAGAGAGCAAGCAAGGCTTATCTCAAGCACATCTTTTCACCTGCATTCCCTCCTTTAACCAAAGCCTGTGAACACAACATCCTTCCTGATTCTCATATTTCCATGGTCAACCAAAACAAAAGCAGAGAAAGAGAGAGAAACAGAGAGAGAGAGAGAGAGAGTTCCAATTCTTTTAAGCCTTCCCAGCAAAAGCATTACAGAACAGTTTCACAATGCATAAGGAATGGAATGATTTGATAATAATCATAATGATAAGAAACGTTTTCAAATCTAAACCGACGCATAATCATATTGGTGTCGAGCTTGAACTCAAACAACCTTCAAGAGTTCACTTGGAAGCATAAACATATGTCGACAAACTCGAACATTTGATTAGGGATTCCAAGAGCAACTCTAATACTCCTGCATATCTTTGTCTCTCTCTTTCTTTCTTTCTTTCTATCTATCTATCTATCCCGACCAAAAATGGAAGTTAAACACCTTCTGTACTACTTACTAGATGGCCCTGACATTTTACAAATCCCTCGAGGATGGACCGACGGGCAGTTAAAAGGAAAGTCTGGATAGCAAAAACCGTTATCAGTTTGTTCAACCTCTGGTCCTCATGATTGTGATGCTTCCCTTACCGCCATCGGTATGAATCTTGGTTTTACCTACCACGGGCTTTCCAGAGAATGCTGAAGTTGGGTAAGATAGAGAGGGGTCTTCCAGATGATGCTTCGATTTGGACGGTGGAGGTGTGCGGATCCGCTGGTTTATGTCTTTCAAGGTAACGTCGCCATGGAATCCACAGGGCTTGATGAAGGCAAATGGGTAGGCAATTGAAGAAGCCAGTTTAGTGGGAGTTCTAATGTATGACTTTCGACCTGCACGTACAGGCCAACGGTTTGCAATACATTAACTCAGTGACACGAGGAAATGGAATACGGTCCATAGACAAAATGATGCATCAAAAAAGTTGAGCAGAATAGAACCTTTAAAGATTATGTTCCGAGGAGTTCGAGTAGGATGATGTTGGACGGCATTAGATTTGAACTCAGGTATAACATCACAAAACTCTACACGTTTGAATAAACTAATGTCATCTACCATAACAAGATCAACACTTAAACAAATAGTTTAACAAACGTCACCTGATACATCAATTTGAATGTCCGGAGTCCCAACAAAGTTCCTGAGTTCCACATTTTAAGACGTTAACGTAATCAACATTAATAATTGTAAGCAAAACAATTCAGATGCAAACAAGACATACAAATCCTCAGGGCTGCAAAGCATATCAGCATCAGTAAAGCATTCAGCAATCCAACCTTCAGGTGAGTGGTCCAAATTCTCATGACAAAAAGTGGACACATTATCTAAGGTAAATACATTATATGATTAGACAAATCCAAGAGCACTCGGGAATCCCGTATAAAGTATTGTGTTTGAGACGAACCTGAGAGTAGAGAACACTCGGGAATCCCGTATGAAGCTTCCGGGAGAGCAGCTGGACTGGAAACATCCTTCTTCTGGATATAGAACAAAAGGCCACAACAAATTTCATACAAGTTCTACAGTATACTTGTATATATCAACAAGTCTAACATCGTAGCGGAGAACTTAAGTTTTTGCATCTAAGAGGATCAACCACAAGCAAGTGCTGAAAGAAAAGACAAATGAGAAGCCTGATTTTTTAAAAATGGACCATAAGCTCGAAAAGGAGCTCCTATCGACAGATTTCCTTGTTAAAAGCATATCTCCCAAACACTAAAGATCGACAATAAGCTCCTTGGAGCAACTTAGTATTGCCCGCAGGAGCCCCCTGGACTCTCCCTCTATAAAAAAAAAGCTCTTTGCCTCCCGGGTGCTGGCACAAGTTTTTATTAAACAACGTTCAACTTTCATGTGTTAAGCATATACCTAGCATCCCTTCTAAGCCAGGATCAAACTCAGATTTTGAGTATGATTATGCCCTACTATGGTAGAACCTCGTGAACCGAGCGTACTACTAAACTGAAGATTGATTCTCTCTCCTAAACTATATAGTACATTATATATTCTTTCTAGCAAACTCAATCAAAATCAAAGCAAACTTATTGCAACTACAAGCAGTAACATAGAAGAACTTATAGAATTGACATGTTTGACTGAAGTTGATCAGAATTCGTACAACCATACACCAGGAAGAGCATATCACTTACATGTGCTTTTAGAAATCTAGAAGATAAATCTTCATTGCATAGGGAAGTTTCCATATCTTGTGCAGTAAACTGTAACATCCGACGTCTCTTTGCCTGTGATTGAGTCTCCCTGGACTCTTCTGATTTCTTGTTCCTGTCATCTGAAACCCACTTCTCCACATTAGAAATGACAAAAAACCAACGACCCTTTAGATTAAAATCAAGTGCAAAGTTGTTACCACTATATGAAACATTGAATGCCAAGTCCCCACAAGCTTTAACAGGAGTTGTTTCATCAAACACATACGAAAGATTTCCATTTTCGGAGACCCCGTCCCACAGGAATTCTGATATCTCTGCTCATGACAATGAAAACAAAAAAGGTCCCAAGAATGAGTTTTAACAAGACGTGATCAGATAATATAACAACTCAAGCTCACCATTAGCAAATATTGTCCTCCTTGAACATTCCCTCAAGGTTTTAAAACGCATCTATTAAGGAGAGGTTTCCACACCCTTATAAGAAATGATTCGTTCATCTCTCCAACTAACATGCGATCTTACAGATAATATAACAACTCAAGCTCACCACTAGCAGATATTATCCTCTTTAGGCTTACCCTTTCGGACTTCGGAAAGGTTTCTACACCCTTATAAGGAATGCTTCATTCCCCTCTCCAACCAATGTGGGATCTCACAGATAACGCATAACAAACAAAATAAACAAGAAAATTACTCACCTAAATCAGCATCCTTCTGAATGGTATACCCATCTCCTTCCCAATTCCAAGAATCACTGATAAAATCACACATAAAAGCAACAAAGGTGAGAGATTAAGCACATGCAACGCTTATTACCATAAGAGAAATGGAAAACAATTGATTCAATCTCAACTAAGAAAGTCAAACTACTGAAAGAAGCAAATTAAACCATACTTCTTGAGGACTTTCTCAACAAATTAACACAGCAATTAAACAACTCGGAAGACTGCAAGAACGCTGTAAACAATATAACAAGTCATTAGCTCTCAATGATCCGCTACTTAAATTAAATCCAACAGCCTCATCCTCCTCTCCATTTCGACCTCAAATTACCGATTACAGAACAAGAAAATCATAACAAATCGAAGAACCATTACAATAAAACCCCAAAAAACAGCTTCCCCCAAAACAAGGAATCAACAAGAACAGCTAGATCTTCCAAAACACAAAATAAACACCGAGAAACCAAACCAATCACATAAACAAACAGATAGAGCAGAAGAACAGCGATTTTACTTGTTTTTGGCGCTATGATCCATGGAAAAAACAGTAAAACAAGACCAACGCTCGTGAATTGCTATTGACTGCGATCAAAGAAGAAGCATTTGAAGAGAAATCCAGTTCGGTCTCCCGATGTTTGAGTTGTGGTGTGCTAGATAATGGGGGCTTAGGGGCGGAGAAGAAGGAGAAAAGCGCCCACTAACCGAGTAACTCGCAAGCCAGCACTTGGTCCTCCTCTCCTTTATTTATTTTATTTTATTTATTTATTTATTTTTATTTATTAATTTTTCTATTTTTGTAAATTTCAATTTTCCACTTCCCAAAGCGACACAGATATATCAAACAGAAACCGCACGCTTTTATTACATGGGTTCCACTTTTTTTCTTTTTCTTTTTCTTTTTTCTTTTTTTGGTATTTTACCATTGATGTAAATTTGCTATAAAAAATTATTTAATTACGAAAATAATAATAATAATCAATGAAAATAAAATTAATATTTTTTTATTATTAAAATAATTTTTCAAAATTTTATGATATATATATTATTGATTATATTATGACCACCAAATTATATTAAAATTATCGGAATTGTTTTATAATACATCAAAATATTAGAAATTTAAATGTAAGTGTGGCATTAAAAAAAATATAAATATAATATAATTTTTTATTATTATTATTATTATTGATAGTAGATTTGAATTGTTTTATTATTATTATTATTATTTTTATTATTACTATTTAATTTATATAAATGATTTAAAAGGTTATTTATTAGAAGCGTTCAAACGTGAGAAATGGAATCAATCCAACTTAATCCATACTTGAGTTGGGTTGGATTGGATTCATATAAATCAAAACTATATGGATCCGATTGGTTCGTAAATTACCCTAATACTAGATTAGGTTGAAGAGCCCGAATTTATTATTAATTTTAAAATATACAATTATTTATTAATTATTCTCTCATTCCTTTTTAAATTAGTTTTTAACTATTTGGAATGTAATCTTTTAAAATATATATTAAAATTGAATTAAATATTTAAAAATTAGTAAATTGACGAAAAAATTAAATAAATGACTCAAACAACTCGAACCAACCCAACTTAAAAAATTTAAGATTGGGTTAGGTGGAGTTTATTATTTGATAAGAATTGTTTGTGTTTGCCGTATCCATGAACCCTCTAATTTAATAATTATATTTAATTTTTAAAATTTTAAACCTCTTTTTTTAATTTTTTTTTTTTTTCGTTTTGAATATGATTTTAAAAAGTGAAATAAAATAAATATATATATGTATAACAAACAAATATAATTTGAAAATAAATTGTTAACTTTTTTATCACCATTTTTTATTTTTTTTAATATAATTAGTAATTAATTTAAAGGGCATGTCTCCAATAATATTTAAGAATTAATCCAACTAAAATTAGAAAGTCAAATTATATAAAAAAGGAAAAAAATAAATAAATATGTTTGATTTAGAGGATAAATGCCAATAAATTTGACCCTACATATGAATATATCAATTTTTTATTTCCTTTTTTTTTTCTCTATATTATACATTTAAATTATAAACAAAAATAGAATTAAAATAATAATAATAAAGAAGAAAAATATAAGAAATTACAATTTTTATTATTAAAAAAATTGTTGGTGAAATGAGACTATGATTTTTCATGTAAATATAACTGCAAATTGAAATAAAATAATGTACTTTGAAAATAAATGTTAGTACTAAATTGATGAATTGTTTTTTTTTTTTTTAAATACGACAAAAATTACACGTACGAACCCTAATTTAATCTAGTTTGTTTCACTTTTACAAATCCGATGATACGAAGTTATATATTGTATATATACCGTCTTTGAAGTTATTCATTTGTGTTTCGATTCTACTGTTTAGACAAAGACATTGAATATGTGGTTTGACATATTCCAAGGTGACTCAAGTCTTTATTAGGTTGTGGTTTTTCATAGTTACGGGTCTTGCTTTAGCATCGTTTCACATTTGAAAAATGTAAAGAGCGGTTTGTGACATTCCAATTTTCTAGTGATAGGGTCGAGAGAGATGGAAAAAAAATGCATCCATTTTTAGGGTAACTTAGTGTCTTGTTATCTATGATGTAGCTAGACATGCCTCTTGCTTAAGAGATCTATGTCAGGGTTGAAAAGGGAAACGAGAATGGGATAGAGTTGTCTATCCTCGTTAGGGTTTCCTTATCGATAAAAAAAAAAAAAATCATAAATTTTCTAGTGAAAGGGTTGTGAGAGATGGCGAAAAAATACATCTGTTTTTAGGATAACTCAATGTCTCGTGGATTCTATCTATGAGATAGCTAGACACGTCTCTTGCTTACGAAATCTGTGTCAGGGTCGAAAAGGGAACGAGGATGGGATAGAGTTGTCTATCCTTGTTGGTAAAAAAAAAAAAATCATAAATTTTCTAATGGAGGGGTCGAGAAAGATGACGAAAAAACACATACATTTTTAGGATAATTTAGTGTCTCGTGGGTTCTATCTACGAGGTAGCTAGACACACCTCTTGCTTACGAGATCTGTGTCACGGTTGGAAAGGAAGGATGGGATAGAGTTGTCAATCCTTATTAGGGATTCCTTATCGGTAAAAAAGAAAAATCATAATTAATTTATTCTTATGAAAAAAAAAAATCTTATTAAATCTAATTTTTATAATAGAGACTAAATTACAACAAACACTTAAACTAAATTATTATATATTAAAGTTTAGGAACTTAAATTAATGTAAAATTAATGTAAAATTAAAAGTAAGAAATAATTAATATTTTTATTATTTATTTTAGTTGAGACAATAATTAATATTTTAATATTAATAGGTTTTTTTTCTTATTTGAAAGAAATAAAGTAGTAAGAAAGTAAATAAATTAAATAGGCACTGTACTGCACACGTGTACGGCAGGATGGGGAGCAGTCACGATTGACTGTCACGCGCGCATTGAATTGAGCCGTTGGGGACATTAAATTCTTCAGCCAATGGGTATCCGGAGAATAAGGTTCAATTAAACATTATTTTATTTCTAAATATATTTTTTTAATGCTACAAATTCCATTATAGTTAATAAGTTTATATCTCCATTATTATTCCCTCGAATTTTAATATAATTTTTTATGGGCCCATTCATTTCATTTGATTTTATTTATTATTATTATTTACTTATGTTTGATGATGAATTTAAAATGTTTCATGGTAAAAAATGTTTCGGGGATCTAACCATACACTCTTTTCGGGATCCAGCGTCTTCGATGACACACTACTTGTGTGTTTGACGGATCTAACCATACACTCTTTTTCGGGATCTAGCGTCCTCGATCACACACCACTTATGTGTTTGACTTTGATATCATTTGTAACATAACCTAAATTCACTAGTAATAGACATTGTCTTCTTTTGCCTGTTACGTATACATATGGCCGTTAGCCTCACGGTTTTGAAACGCGTTTACTGATTTTGTGTTTGGCTTTGATATGATTTATAACAACCCAAATTCAACCATACACCCTCTTTGGGGATCCAGCGTCCTCGAGGCACACCGTTTGTGTGTTTGGCTTTGATATCATTTGTAACAACCCAAATTCACTGCTAATAGATATTGTCTAGCTTTGGCCTGTTACATATACGTATGACCGCTTGCCTCACGGTTTCGAAACCGTTTACTAGAGAGAAGTTGTTTTCATACCCTGATAAGAAATGTTTCGTTTCCCTCTCCAACTGATGTAAGATCTAATATTTTCATAGGGAGTAAAGGGAGATTCTATATGAATAATTCTTCGAGATCGAATTTTAATATTATAGTAAAACATAGTCATGACACTAATACCATGTTAGAAATCATAACTCTTTACAATGGTATGATATTGTTCACTTTGAGCATAAACTCTCATATGTTTGCTTCGGGCTTCCCCAAAAGGCCTCATATCAATGGATTACTCACTTATAAACTCATGATCTTCCACTAAATTAGCCGAGATAAAACTCACTCCCAATAATAATCCTCAATGGTTGGTGGTGTTCAAAAAATACAATAACTTGAAAATTTCCGTCCAAATATATCGAGGATTTTAAAATATATATTTTTGTTTACAACATAATTTATATATACCTATATTTATTTTATTTTTATAATTATTTATTATTTATAATTCTTAAAAGTATTTAAATGGATTTAAATTGAGTTATAAATTTTAATTAAATGTTTGAAAGAACACAATCTTCTACAATTTCTAAACCTTGCAGTATCACGAGATTGATTTTGCAAGAAAAAGAGAGGACAAATTTCAAAACTATTTTTCAAAATAGATATGAACGCCATTTTTTCGAATCCACTGCATACCGCAAATGTTAATTTTGCGGTGAAAGATTCGTAAGAATAACTTGATGCGTCGGGGGGAAAGGAGGAACAACCGGAAACGGCAATCGGTGAGCTTCTCTGTACCATTTTTTCCGATTCCTGAGGTTGGAGTTTCATCAATCTGAGCCCAGAAGAAGGAAATTCAGAGCTCAGGTTTAGAGATATAATCTGTCAAGATGAATATCTTTAGATTAGCGGGTGATATGACTCACCTGGCAAGCGTTCTCGTTTTGCTCCTCAAGATCCACACCATCAAATCCTGTGCTGGTATGGATTTTATGGTTATTTTTTGGAATTTGGCCCTAAGATCGATTTTCTTTTGTGTTCGTTGTATTGCATTATTGTATTTTCCCTTGTAGCTCTTTGATTTAGGTGTTTTGGATTCGTGATTTCGGAAACAATATGTTCCATTTTATGTATTGCAATCTTGGGATTTGGAATAGAAACATGCGAAAATTGTAAATGAAGTTAATGAAGGCTTAGAGGAATCAAACAATGTGGAATTTCTGCTATCTTAACATTTAGTAAGATTTGATAAGGATATAGAAGTCTCAATATTTTGAAGGAGATTTGTTCAGTGTTCTGCTCTTTGTTTGGTTAGGTTTTGGCTGCAATTTCTTCAATGTTAATATATTTGACTTGTGTAGGTGTTTCTTTGAAGACTCAAGAGCTATATGCAATTGTTTTTACTACCCGCTACTTGGATATCTTTACCGACTTCATATCTCTGTATAATACGTTCATGAAGTTAATATTCTTGGGGAGTTCGTATTCAATTGTTTGGTATATTAGACGCCACAAGATTGTTCGTCGGTCATACGACAAGAACCAAGACACTTTTCGCCATGTTTTCCTTATCTTACCTTGTATTGTATTGGCCCTGCTTATCAATGAAAAATTAACATTCAAGGAGGTTAGCTCTTTTTATGATTTTCTTCAAGCTATAAAAGTTTCATTAAAACTATTCTAGGTATATGTATGTTTATTTTTAATGTTTTGATGAAGGAATTGTTGCACATTTCTTTCCTATATTGAGTTCAATCAATGGAACAGGTTTTGTGGGCATTTTCTTTGTACTTGGAAGCGGTTGCCATCCTCCCTCAGCTTGTACTTCTACAACGAACAAAGAATATTGACAATTTGACCGGGCAATACGTATTTCTTCTTGGGTATGATATCACTACTTACCATTGATGTAATAGCTCTTGAATCCACTGATAAGTTTCCTCCTTTTCTTGTTTTTCATACGTATCTCTTGTTTAGGTGTCTCATATAAGTCTAACACCTATTGTGAATTCAAATCCATGATGAAGGAGCAAATTTCATCATTTTCCCATTTTTCCCTTGTATAGTACCTCAACTGTAAGGGCCCAGGCCCACCGCTAGCAGATATTGTTCTCCTTAGGCTTTCCCTTTTGGACTTCCCTCAAGGTTTTTAAAATGCGAGGTTTCCACACCCTTATAAAGAATACTTTGTTCCCCTCTTCAACCAATGTTGGATCTCACTATCCACCCCCCTTTCGGGGCCATCGTCCTTGCTGGCACTCGTTCCCTTCTCCAATCCACCCTCTTCAGGGCCCAACGTCGTTGCTGGCACACTGCCTTGTGTCCACCCTGATGTCTGGCTCTGATACCATTTGTAACAGCCCAAGCCCACCAATAACTGAAATTGTCCGCTTTGGGCTTCCCCTTTTGGTGAGAGGTTTCCACACCCTTATAAAGAATGCTTCATTCTCCTCTCGGATCTTATATCGATTATCTTAGATTATATGCCAAAATATCAAGCAGTTGGAAAAGTAGAGAGTTGTAAGATGTCAGTCTTCTTAATGGTTTGGAGACTGCAAACCTTTCGCTTTAAGATGTTAGAACCCAAATAACTATTTTATAATCAATTCAAATTTCTTTTGAAGGTTGACAAAACTGTTAGCGTTTGTGGGGGAAGACATGTGGCAAACTAAATGTATGAATTGTGATGCATTTTTTGACTTCCTCGGCATTATCTTTTCCCTCTCTAGGACTTCCTCGGCATTATCTTTTCCCTCTCTAGTGACTTCCTTGGCCTTCCTATTTCCTACTCATGCTAGAAATAGTAATGGAGTGGAGGTGCCAGAGTATGGTCGGTGAAAAGATAACAACTATTAACTGTTTAGAATCTACACATTGTTTCAGTTAGAGCTGACTTCATTGTTTATATACTAGAATGTGATTAGATTTATTTTAATAGAATGTGATATCATAGTGCACATAATAGGTGTGTTTATTTACTAGAATCTACACACGGTTTCAGTAAGAGCTGGCTTCATGCAATTAGATTTATATCAATAGAATGTGATTCATAAATAAACTAGAAACGGCACCTGTATGAATTAGTGTTTGAAAATGATCCAATTCTCTAATCAAGTATATTAGATTGACCCCAGGAGATAGTATGGGACAAGGAATTTCTTTTAGGAAGGCTGCTATACTCCTATTTGAATACAAACTGAACATCTGAATTCATGTAAAAATTAAGCTGTGCACGGTCTTAGTTGATAGTTTTAATAGGTGTTGATAGTTTTGCAGAATGGACAAGCCTATTTTCTTTACCTGGTTTGTTAAATTTGGGTTATACTCGAAAAGCTTCTCTCTTTTATGAACATGTAGTAGCTTTTATTAGGCCTTCTGTTTTCTACTTCTTTGACTCGGTTATGTCAACCTCAGAACGTTATGAACAAAAAAACCTTATTGCATCCTAATTTTCTTGATGCAGTGTGTATCGAGCTTTGTACATTGTCAACTGGATCTACCGATACTTCACTGAGACTCACTTTGTCCACTGGATAAGCAAGTCATCTCCTTCCTTGCCCTCTGTTATGTCTTATGTCTTAAAACTGCTTTTAGTCATATTAGATATCATAGTGCCTTGATTGGAAACCATAATTAGGATTAGTGCCTTGATTGGAAACCATAATTAGGATTGATTTAGGATAAAGTAGAAACCTTTAACCCAACAAGTTCTTTATTTTTATTTTTTTTAGTTGATCCAATTAACTTTCAAGCACTTGAATAATCTTTTGCGTTTACTTCTTGCATTTATCCATTATGGTAAATAGAGTTAAAATTAACGTCGAAGCATTCAGCCTGATGTGTCGCATCCAGGTTTTATTTTTCAAAAGATTTTCATATGTTATAGCTTTTAGTTCATGGAGATATATTATGAAAAGCTTGTTATCCTCACGTTAGTTCAAAAGGGTGGCACATAAATCACCTTGAGAAAAATTGTGTTGCTATATGTGATTGGAGACATTGGGTAACTTCCTAACGCTCTTTGTGAAATTGCAGCTTGGATTTCAGGGCTTGTGCAAACGCTACTTTACGCAGACTTCTTCTATTATTATTTTCAGAGGTGACCAAAATCTTTTGCTTCATATATGATCCTAGTGGGGATTTCTTGTTTGAATTTTGTTATGGCATTTACTTTTTGAACTTTCAATCTCTGCAGTTGGAAGACCAACCAGAAACTCCAGTTGCCAGCTTAAGATCTCGAAAGGATATATATAAAGGAGAAGTCACTTTCACTCTAATGTGAGTTGTATTTGCTTTTAGTTCTCAGCTACCACAAAATCCTGATCTTTCTCGAACCCTTCTGAACGCGTGTTCTTCGGTCTGTTTAGATGGTTTTTGAGCGTGCCGGTCCTTTTTATTGCTACCAAACTCGTAGAGAATACATGCCTGTAAGTTTGTGCTGTAAAGATTCTCAATCTCCATCCACGAACATACCTTAGTAATTTTAAAACATTCTTTAGAAGTTTTGATGATATCTTCGAGTGGTTTAGATAAAGTTGTTGTTCAAGAATGTTATTAGATACGAATATGATACTTACATACAACAAAGAATAATGAAGAATATTTGTGATAGGAATCAGTAGATGCACCTGAATATCTTAACTAGGTTGACACATCCTTAGCACCCTTGCCCCATCCCAATACTTAGTTATTACAAACTATGAAACCATAGTTTATATACCTTATCATGAAAGTTACTACAAACTAAACAAAAAGCCATACTCTATGTCATTTGAACCCGAACCTAAAGCCTCTGGTTGGTGGTCATCTCGAGCACACAAGGCATACCACTAGTACTTTGGTCGATGGTGTCTTGGGTACACAAAACATCTGATTAAAGCCTTCTTTGGTGGTCATATCTGACATAAAAAACTCGAAATTAAGCCCAAGAAAGTAGCGCATATTAATGACACCTTGGTTCATCTCATGCATGGAAACAGCATCACTACTGGATTTGGTTAGTGCTTAGATCTGGTTCATCTCATGCATGCAAAGCACATTAGTAGTGTCTAGGTTGCTGGTCATCTTAGGCTCACAAGGCGTCGATGGTGCTCTACGAACCTTTGCTCTTTAGGCTGCAACAGAGAATGAAATTGTTCCTTTGCTTTTATTTTAGATCTGTCATTGTTGTCCATATCATTACTTTTTTATGCTAATCCTCTCTTCTTCATAGATTGAGCTCTAGAGAACTTTCTGTTCAAATGCTTTTCTTTTGGGTCTCTCGTTTTTTCTCATCCGTCACAAAACATAGTTTGAATCTGAACAATTATGTATGACCAAACTTTTATGCAGGCTGTACTCTCGTGCATGATCCATTCTTCATGGTGGTGTTGTAATTGAAGATTCTCGTACCTATAATGCAATCTTTTACTTATATATGTGCAACTTTTTACTTAATATGTGAAGATAAATGTCTATAATTATTGGTGGCATAGAGATTGCAGTGGAAAACGACTCGAGAATATGGGAAGAATATGGGAGGGCATGAACCTTGTTGTAAAGATAACGTTGGAGAAGAATCTGGTCGGTAGGCATGAACTTGAGACCAACTTGTTTACACAAAATGAGAATCCTTTGACATTACTAAAGGTTTCTGGAAAAAAAACATCCATTCACATTACAAATTTCAATAAAATTGTGAGAGAGATTATACTTTTAACACAATATCAGTCGAACAATGTCCTAAATACAATAATTGTCCAAGCAGATTTTTTTTTTTTTTTTTTTTTTAATACCCTTCCTGGAATATACTTCTAATTGGAGTTTTAACAGAATGTTATACAAGTCCCAACAATACCTCAAAATTAATTTTCAATATATATATATTTGAAAAATAAAATTTAAATTGGAGAAAAAAAAAAAATAGTTGTTACATAAATATGAATTTTAATAAATAAAAGTTATATATGTGGATATATTGTATGATTTTATACAAATAAATTATTTTTAAATTGAATAAATTATTATAAATAAATTATTTAAAATAAAATCTATATTTATTTTAAATAAATTATTTTTCCATATATACGATTTAAATTGAAGAAAAAAAAAGAAAAAATTAATGTTAAATAAATAAAAGATATTTATTTTAAATAAATTATTTTTCCATATATACGATTTAAATTGAAGAAAAAAAAGAAAAAATTAATGTTAAATAAATAAAAGATATTTATTTTAAATAAATTATTTTTCCATATATACGATTTAAATTGAAGAAAAAAAAAAAGAAAAAATTAATGTTAAATAAATTAAAGTTATATATATGTGTATATAACCCTATACAAATAAATTATTTTTAAATTTAATAAATTATTTTAAATAAAAGTTATATTGATAGTAAATAAATTATTTTTCAATATATATATTTTTACAAAAGTAAAATTTAAATTAAAGAAAAAAAATAGTAATTTTAAATAAATAAAAGTTATATAAGTTACATTTATTTTAAAAAAATTATTTTTTAATATATATATATATATATATATATATATATATTTGAAAAGTAAGATTTAAATGGTGGAACAAAAAATTAATCATTAAATAAATATGAATTTATATACATTATATAAGAGTGTATGATCTTATACAAGTTGGCACATATTTTCTCATTTATTCTCTAAAAAAACATTTTTAAAATTAATCTGTTGAGATACGACCCGTCGGTTAACTTTGATGGATCTACAATTACAACTGGTTGTCGATAACCCTGAATCGTATATGGTAGTCCATATTAAAAGCCTTCGTATGTATTTGGTTCAACCTTCATAATTATCTTATTAAACCTAGGTTGCCAGGTAGTCATATTAAAAGCCTTCGTATATATTTGGTTCAACCTTTATAATTACCTTATTAACCCTAGGTTGCCATTGAGTAGGTAATCGGAATATCGAGCCATATGTTTGAGGTTGGTAACTATTCCTAATAGATGTGCACCAATGATGGCGAAGATAGACATGGACATAGGCCTGCACATTAGGTTGGTAAACTTCATTAAATAGGCGATGTTATACATCCATGAAATGTTATCATTTTGTATTCTACAGCTTCGAAATATAATTGCTCCTCATTATATTGAAATTAAATCCTTCCTTTTTAAAATGAATCAAGTACGCTCTATATTATTAATCTTATCAAAATCTTGTTAAACTACTGTCATTCATATTTTTCCATTTTCATTGGTATGTGTGAGTACTAATGATGCTAAGTCTATTCACATTAAATTGGAGGCGTGAAACCATCTTAAAAATCCTAAAAATAAGATACATCCAAAAGTCAGTAACACAAACTAAAAAAACAAGAATCTCACTATCTTACAATTTAATTTTTATCTGTAAACTCTATATGCATAACCACAATTGTGAGACCAAATATCTCTCTTCTATTGTCCTCCAACTATAGTTTCATCAATAATTTTTGTAATTAGGTTTTGATTATTGATTGTTTGTAAATTTTTTAACTCAAAATATTGAATTGAGTATGGGAGTAAGAAGGGTGAGACTATATATTATAATAAAAATTACTCCTAATTCAAATCAGGAAGGGAAGTAAGATTATCTAAATGAAAATATAAATATATTAGATAAATATATTTTCAAATTTAAAAAGGAATTTTCTTTAAATTAATAATAAAATAGCCCCAAACACTAAATTTTGATTGAAAATAAATAATAAAAGTATAATAAAATAAAATTATTTTTTTATTTAAATTAAAAAAAAAAAATCTTTGTAGTATTGAAGACTACTTTCTAATGTTAAGTTGAATATTATGTTATGAAATGGTGTTGATTTGTTATTATGTTTAAAGCTTTTACTAATAAATTTGGTTGAAAAATAGAAATTATTTATTATAAATTCTCTCGAAATATTTTTTAAAATTTATATCATGGATACAACTTTAATATAAAAAAAATAAAATTTTAATTTTTGAAATAGGAGTGTATAATTTATGAGTATAAAATTAAATAGATTAGTTTAAATCTTTTCATCGTATATCTACAAACATAGGTCTCGCTCTTCAACTTTCAAATATACAATATATTTTTTATTAATAGTTTGGGAGTTGTGTCTAACTTAATCCATTAAAATTTAAAATTTAGTAAATTAAAATTTTCAATTTTGTACTAATAATTGAGCTTTAAAAAATGTCTAATAGATTTATAAAGTTTTAATTCAAATCCATAACATAATAAAAAATGAAAGAATGAAATAATAATAAATCGTATAATAGCTTTACGATCAATATAATAAGATTCTCGAAATGTAGATACACACGACCCTAACTCGTCAACTGAAACCTAAGTCATATGATTAAATCCTATTCATCGACCACGAAACCAAAAATTGATTAAACAAATATAACGGTCAGTTTAAATCTGCTAGCTAATCATCCACCCTGATACACTTCTTTCTGATCTAATCTAATCTAATCTATCAATCACCGTAAAATTTCAACAGATTATTTCAGGTACGCCATCTCGAGATTCAAAGAATTTTTTAATTTTTTTAATTGACTTTGGTTTTTTTTTTTTTTTTTATTATTATTATTATTTTTTTAATTTTAATAAATTGTTTGTGTGCTTTATGATGTTTTGGTTTGTGTAGTTGGGGCCAAAAATCCAATAGAGTATGTGTTCTTTGGATAGGGATTTTGAATGTGGCATGAATTCGAAATATTTTTTGATAATTTCAGTATTTTCTTCACATCTTCATTGAAGTATATTGTATAATGAGTGTCTCTTGGTTCATATCATTCTCCACTTCTACAAGAGGATTCGTCCTCGAATCTATTTGTGAAACTTTGCTGCATAAGACATGGAAATACAAAGGACCTCACAACAATCTCTCACGTGTATGTACTCAAAGATTTTTTAAGAAAATCTCTGTTTGCACTCATTTACACAAATGAAGCTCTCATTCTCACTTCTCAAAATTTTAAATAGAGCAAAGATTGAATTTTGAACTCTGGGTCGATTAAAAACTAAAAAGATAAAGATAAATAAAAATCAAATTGAGAAGAAACGCCAAGGAAACATATATCCGATTTTGAGCCTGAAGCTCTGATACCAAATGATAAGATAAGGAACCACTACAAGGGGAGTAAGATTCGGATTACCTTGTTGATCGAATATCTCAAGGCAAGAACATTGTTTGAGGTTCGAATCACTCCACAAGCAAGATCGATCATGTCTAGCTTGAAAGATTCTTGTTGATCAAATATCTCAAACACTTATTTGAGATTCGAATCACTCCACAAGCAAGATTGATCATGTCGAGCTTGAATGATTCTACATGCAACGTAAACTACGTATAATTGCAAGTCTATTACAAATACAACACACATGGCTTTATATAGCCTCAAAATGAAACTATTAAAAGCATTCCAAGAGTTGTAACAGTCATACTTAATGACCATAACTAATGGTAACCTAAAGTAAAAAAGTCTTAAAATACATTAATGAAATTCAATAACTCTAAATTACTCTAAATTGCAATCCACCTAAAATTTATAACATGAAACTTCATTCTTCTTCAATGTGACATGAATTGAAATATCTTTTGATAATTTGAACGGTATTTTCTTCACATCTTCATTGAAGCATATTGTATGATGGGTGTCTCTTGATTCATATCAATTTAAATTGAACAAAAAAAATAGTCGTTAAATAAATATTAAAATTCATATTCCTTCTATAACATTATACAAATAACTTATTTTTAAATTGAATAAATTATTTTAAATAAATTATTTTTCAATATATATTCAAAAAGTAAAATCTAAATTGAAGAAAAAAAAAATAGTCGTTAAATAAATATGAATTTTAATAAATAAGAGTTAACATGTACCTACAATACAAATAAATTATTTTTAAATTAAATAAATTATTATAAAATAAAATTTATATTTATTTTAAATAAATTATTTTTCAATATATATTTGAAAAGATTTAAATGGGAGAAAAAAAAAATTAATTTTAAATAAATAAAAGTTATATACATCTACTTTTGTATGATCTTATACAAATAATTTTTTTTTTAAAATGGAATAAATTATTTAAAATAAAAGTTACATTTATTTTAAATAAATTATTTTTCAATATATATTCCAAAAAGTAAGATAGTTTTTAAAATTAGATATTGTGGGTTAATTCTGGATCTACAATTACAACTAGTCGTCAATAACCCTGAATTGGATATGGTAATCCATATAAAAAGTTTTCGTGTATCTTTGCATCAACCTTCTACAATTACAACTGGTCGTCAATAACCCTGAATTGGATATGGTAATCCATATAAAAAGTTTTCGTGTATCTTTGCATCAACTTTCATAATTACCCTCATCTTGGCATAAACTGATGCGGTAAGCAAATTGTCAGACCCATCAAAGTGGGCAGTACCAATGCGATTAACTTGCAGCAGCTTCGCCAGTTTTTTTAAGCCTAGGTTGCCATTGAGTAGGTAGTCGGAGTACCGAGCCACATGTTTGAGGTCGGTGACTGTTCCTAATAGGTGCAACAATGATGGCGAAGATAGACATGGACGTAGGCATGCATATTATGTTGGTAAACTTCATCAAATAGGCGATGTCATACAATCCATGAAATGTTATCCATCTTTGTATTCTACGAAGGATAGGGTTAAATTGTCTATCAAATTCTTCGGGAGAAATTCCATAGATACTCACTATATTGAAATTAAATCTCTTATTCTTTAGAAATGAATCGAGTGAATAAAGACCCTCCATATTACTAATTTTATCAAAATCTTGAAAGTAAACTCCCACGTCATTCCTATTTTTTCATTCTCATCGGTAAGTGGGAGTTCTAACTGAAGTATGCTCAGTCGATTTACGTTAAATTGGAGGCATTGGTAGAATTCTTCATCTGAAACACATTTGGGAGTACATCTTAAAAATCCTAAAAAGAGGAGATACATTCAAACGTCAGTACAACAAAGACTAAAAAGATTTCAAGAGTCAGTAAAACAAAGACTAAAAAATCACTACTTCTCACCATCCTTCAAGTTTGATTTTTACCTGGAAACTCCGTATCCATAGCCACAATTGGAAATTCTGATAAACAGTGCTTCATGAGTTCTATCTCCTCCAATAAATTGTGAGACCAGACATCTCTCTTCCATTTGCCTCCAACTATAGCAGCTTCTCCAATAATTTTTGCCATTTTTTCGAGAATTTTGATTATTGATGGTTTATCCGAAAATATTTTAACTTCACAATTAAAATATTGAAGTGAGTATGAAAGTGAGAAGGGTGAGACTATATATTTATAATAAAAATTACTCCTAATCCAAAAAAGAGATGGGAGTGAGATTATCTAAATAAAAAATAGAAATACATTTAGATAATTATATTTTCAAATTTAAAAAGAAAATTTATTACAAATTTTTTTAATTTATTAATAAAATAGCACCAAACACTAAATTTAATTGGATTGAAAAAAATTAAATTTAAATTGAATGGAAAATAAAAGATAAAAGTGTAATAAAAATTAAATTATTTTTTATTTTAATTTTAAAAAAATCTTTAGAATATGGAAGGCTACCTTCTAATATTGAATTTGAATTATTAGAAATTACGTTCAATATTATGTTATGAAATGGTGTTGAATTTGTTAGTATGTTTAAAGCTTTTTTTTAATAAATTTGGTTGAAAATAGAAATTATTTATTATAAATTCTTTCGAATATTTTTAAAAATTTATAGTATAGATAAAACTTTAAAACGAAAAAATAAAATTTTAATTTTTGAAATAGGATTGTATAATTTATCATTGTAAAATTAACGTATAGATTATTTTAAATATTTTCATCTCATATCTACATACATTTTATAGATTATTTTAAATATTTTCATCTCATATACATTTTATACATACATTTTATACATTCAAAAGTCAGTAAGACTAAAAAAAATCATGACTTCTCACCCTCCTTCAAGTTTGATTTTTACTTGGAAACTCCCTATCCATAGCCACAATTGGAAATTCTGATAAATAGTGCTTCATGAGTTCTATCTCCTCCATTAAATTGTGAGATCAGACATCTCTCTTTCATTTGCCTCCAACTATAGCAGCAATTGTGGTCATTTTTCCCTGTTTCTTGGTTTACCACGTATCCTTATCCAATAACCACCAAATTCCATACATAACCTTAACATGATATATTATGGACAACATTAAAAATTCATAGGCATTAGAGCTCATTTAGTTGTTTATCTTAACGTTCCTTAAATCCCGAGCAACTTGGTCGGTTTAGGCCCTTAACTCACGGTTTCTTGGATTTAGTAAAAAAAGCCATTTATTATTTAAATAAATAAATTATTTTTAGTATTAAATAAATTTTAAATAAATAAAGGTTATATTCACATTATACAAATAAATTATTTTTAAATTGAATAAATTATTTTTTAATTTACATATTAAAAAAAATAGTCATTAAATAAATATTAAAATTCATATTCCTTCAATAACATTATACAAATAAATTATTTTTAAATTGAATAAATTACTTTTCAATATATATATATTCAAAAAGTAAAATCTAAATTGAAGAAAAAAAAATAGTCGTTAAATAAACATAAATTTTAATAAATAAAAGTTAACGTATACATACAATACAAATAATTTATTTTTAAATTGAATAAATTATTATAAATAAATTATTTAAAATAAAATTTATATTTATTTTAAATAAATTATTTTTTAATATATATATTCGAAAAGTAAGATTTAAATGGAAGAAAAAAAAATAATGTTAAATAAATAAAAGTTATATGCATCTACTGATCTTATACAAATAATTTTTTTTTTATTCCAAATGGAATAAATTATTTAAAACAAAAGTTACAATTATTTTTTAATATATATTCGAAAGAGTAAGATTTAAATGGAAAAAAAAAAATTAATCATTAAATAAATATGAATTTATATAGTGTGTATGGTCTTATACAAATTGGCACATATTTAGTACCCTCCTCATCTACCCTCTACAAATAAAATAGCACACAGTTTTTAAAATTAGATACGATTGTGGGTTAACTTTGGATCTACAATTACAACTGGTGGTCGATAACCCTGAATTGGATATGGTAATCCATATAAAAAGCCTTCGTGTATCTTTGGATCAACCTTCATAATTACCCTCATCTTGGCATAAACGGATGCTGTAAGGAAACTGTCAGACCCAGCAAAGTGGGCAGTACCGATGCGATTAACTTGCAGCATCTTCGCCAGTTTTTTTAAGCCTAGGTTGCCATTGAGTAGGTAGTCGGAGTACCGAGCCATATGTTTCAGGTCGGTGACTGTTCCTAATAGATGTGCAGCCATGATGGCGAAGTTAGACATGGACGTAGGCATGCATATTATGTTGGTAAACTTCATCAAATAGGCGATGTCATACAATCCATGAAATGTTATCCATCTTTGTATTCTACCGCTTCGAAGGATAGGGTTAAATTGTCTACTAAATTCTTCCGGAGAAATTCCACAGCTCCTCAGGATATTGAAATTAAATCCCTTATTCTTTAGAAATGAATCGAGTGAATAAACACCCTCCATATTACTAATTTTATCAAAATCTTGAAAGTTAAACTCCCACGTCATTCCTATTCTTCCATTCTCATCGGTAAGTGTGAGTCCTAACTGAAGTATGCTCAGTCGATTTACGTTAAATTGGAGGCATTGGTAGAATTCTTCATCTGAAACACCTTTGGGAGTACATCTTAAAAATCCTAAAAAGAGGAGATACATTCAAACGTCAGTACAACAAAGACTAAAAAGATTTCAAGAGTCAGTAAAACAAAGACTAAAAAATCACTACTTCTCACCATCCTTCAAGTTTGATTTTTACCTGGAAACTCCGTATCCATAGCCACAATTGGAAATTCTGATAAACAGTGCTTCATGAGTTCTATCTCCTCCAATAAATTGTGAGACCAGACATCTCTCTTCCATTTGCCTCCAACTATAGCAGCTTCTCCAATAATTTTTGCCATTTTTTCGAGAATTTTGATTATTGATGGTTTATCCGAAAATATTTTAACTTCACAATTAAAATATTGAAGTGAGTATGAAAGTGAGAAGGGTGAGACTATATATTTATAATAAAAATTACTCCTAATCCAAAAAAGAGATGGGAGTGAGATTATCTAAATAAAAAATAGAAATACATTTAGATAATTATATTTTCAAATTTAAAAAGAAAATTTATTACAAATTTTTTTAATTTATTAATAAAATAGCACCAAACACTAAATTTAATTGGATTGAAAAAAATTAAATTTAAATTGAATGGAAAATAAAAGATAAAAGTGTAATAAAAATTAAATTATTTTTTATTTTAATTTTAAAAAAATCTTTAGAATATGGAAGGCTACCTTCTAATATTGAATTTGAATTATTAGAAATTACGTTCAATATTATGTTATGAAATGGTGTTGAATTTGTTAGTATGTTTAAAGCTTTTTTTTAATAAATTTGGTTGAAAATAGAAATTATTTATTATAAATTCTTTCGAATATTTTTAAAAATTTATAGTATAGATAAAACTTTAAAACGAAAAAATAAAATTTTAATTTTTGAAATAGGATTGTATAATTTATCATTGTAAAATTAACGTATAGATTATTTTAAATATTTTCATCTCATATCTACATACATTTTATAGGTATCGCATCTCAACTTTTAAATATATAATATATTTTTATTTATTAATCACAAGAGTTCCGGAGCTTGTGTTGATGCAATCTATTAAAATTTTCAATTTTTTTATTAATAAATGCTCGAGATTTAAAAATGTCTAATAGGTCTCTAAACTTTTAATTCAAATTCATAACATATCCAAAGTTAAAGAATGAAATAATAATAGATCGTATAATAGCTTTAAAATAAATGATGAAAGCCTAATAAAAATTAAATTATTTTTTATTTTAATTAAAAAAAATCAAAATAAAAAAAAAATCTTTTGAGTATGGAAGACTAAGTTCTAATATTTAATTTGAATTATTAGAAATTAGGATGAATGTTAGGTTTTGAAACGGGGTTGGATTTGTTATTATGCTTGAAGTTTTTATTATAAATTCTTTTGGAATATTTTTAAAAATTTATACTAGATAAAACTTTAATACTAAAAAAATAAAATTTTGATTTTTGAAATAAGATTGTATAGTTTATGGGGTAAAATTAAGCGTATAGATTAGTTTAAATCTCTCCCCTTATCCCTCAACTTTTAAATATACCATATATTCTTTATCATCTCTCAACCTTTTAAATATACAATATATTTTTTATTTATTAATTACAACTGACATTTTGTAAATTAAAATTTTCAATTGTGTACGAATAAATGCTAGAACTTTAAAAATGTCTAATTTTGTTAGCCTACAACGAAAGGTCAAGGAAGTTGGCGCATGACAAAAAAACACTGATGAATGAAGCCCTGACGAACAACGACAATAACTATAATGGTCTTAAGTAGCAAAATTTCTTGTCCCGTCAATTCATAGACGGTCGGTAAGTATGATGGTTTTAATGACGATCCTACCATTGATGGATAGGTTTTTAGGTTATGTTTACGTACCCAAAATCATAATCCATCAATAGAAATTAAATTTTTGGGATATTATGTCGAATGCATTAACATGTTTGGCAATAGAAAACATAAATGAATTGTATTTTGCAATCTCGGACACTCAACCGATTCCTCAGTGACTCCCTTTTTGGTGAATTTTCAAGAATTTTGTCATTTCTCTCGCCCTTATGTAGAATGAAACATATTCATATCCAAATCAATATACAAAAAAGTATCAATATCGCTCGTGATAGAGGGACGAACAAACAAGATTGAAATATGATATCTCAATTGAAGAAATGGGGTCGAAATTGATGGTATAAATCGAGATCGTATCTTTTGGTATAAATCGAAATCGAGATCGTATCTTTTCTATTACTAATCTCTAAACAAATAAAAAATCAATAAAAACATACTCAAACAAATATTAACGAAAACTATCCATTTGTGACGAACAAATAAAAAATTAAAAGCCTAGATATTTAAGTTATCGAATATAATAATATCTCATCTATGAACCTTTCCAAACATATATAATAAATTCAACATCCAAATCAACAATTTATCTCAAGATAAATGGAAGAAATTGGCTATTTAGAGCATCCATAAATGACTTCTACCTGTGTACTCATACTTATATAATTTAAAAGGAACTGAATGCAGCTCTCTTTTATCCTCTTCCCTCTACTTCCTGGGTACAATAAATCTGCTATCCTGGCCTGCTGCTGCTTGTTTGTCACCATTGCCTTCCCAATCTTGGTCTCTTCTAAGCCTTAAATATACGGCCGCATATACTATAACCTGTTTCAAAATAGTAGACGAAGACTCGGGAAAGAACATCTTTTTGGGGTTTTGAGGAGCGAGGAATTATCAACTGAAAATAAGGTGTGTGCGAGCGTGTGAAAAGATGGACCCCTGTTTAAGTTAAAATTGTTAGGAACCATGACGCTCCACAATAATATGATATTGTCCACTTCGAGCATTAGCTCTCGTGGTGTTGCTTTTGGTTTCTCTAAAAGGCCTCGTACCAATGGAGATGTATTCCTTACTTATAAATCCACGATCAACCTCTTAATTAGCAGATGTGTGGACTCCCTCCCCTCAACAATCCTCTCCTCAAGCAAAATACTCCATAGTGCCTCCCTAAGGTCTATGGAGCTCTCGAATAACCCTCACTTAATCAAGACTCGACTCCGTCTCTAGAGCCCTCGAACAAAGTACACCATTTGTTCGGCACTTGAGTCACCTTTGACTACACTTTCGAGACTCACAACTTCTTTGTTCGACATTTGAGGATTCTATTGACATGGCTAAGTTAAGGACATGACTCTAATACCATGTTAGGAACCAAGACTCTCCACAATGGTATGATATTGTCCACTTTGAGCATAAGCTCTCATAGCGTTGCTTTTTGTTTCTCAAAAGGCCTCATACCAATGGAGATGCATTACTTGCTTATAAACCCATGATCAACCCTTTAACTGGCCAATGTGTGGACTCCCTCTAACAATCCTCAACAAAAATAACTATGGTAATGTGAACTAATTAACTAAAGAAGGACAAAACTGATGAGTATACATGAGAAGGGCTCACAGCTTGACTCGTGAAGATTCTAGAGTCGTTGATAAGTCCATTTCTCGCTTATGAGCTACACATGTTTAGAGTATGCCTCTCTTGAACTGCTAATTTATCCATTTTTTGAATATCAGAATAATATTGTGTACTGACGATCCAATATGTAGTCAAATAATGGAATTAAGAAAATTTTCTTTTGGGCTTATTTTGGAACAATGGTTTTCTTGGTAGATGCAAAAGCATGTCCCGAACCCAACCGGAAAATAGAGGGTTGAATAATAGAATAGAAATAAAAAAGGAAAGGAAGGAGAGGAAAAGAAAAGAAAAGAAAAAGAAAATAGAGAGAGAAAGAGAAAGGAAGAGTTGGGGTTTTTAAGAAGAGGGGGAAGAAGAAGGAGGGAGAAACGCCCAAACCCGAACTGAAGCTCTCCTACTAGAGCTAATCAGAGTATCAAGAGGAGTGGTCTGAGCGTTGGATCGTTTGTTTCCGGCAATAAACGGGCAAGAACGTGAGGTAAGTCCGCGACCTCTCTTGTTTCAAAACCGCGTCGGAAAACAAAATCGAGAGACAGTCCTACTTGAAACTGAATTTTTCTTGGTTTTCGACTCCATTTATTAAGCGCCGTGGGTATCAAAAAAACTACAATAAAAATATATCTGGATAGGTGGACTTGAGATCTTGAATTCTTGTGAAGGAATCGATTATATTCGAGTTACGGTTTGGAAGATAGAATTTGGCCGGAATCTGGAAAATCCGAGAGATGAGATAGACGAGACTAACGGCGGAGGGACGCGTGTCTGGAAGGGAGAGGGCCGCGAGTCGCCGAGCAAATGGGACACGTCAGGCGTGGAATGGCGGAGGAAAATCACGGAAAATACTGCGTAAGCTGGGGTTTGAACACCGGCGCCCGCTACCAGGCCCGTGAACCCGCGCGCGACCCGAGCCCGTCAGCCGAACCGTCCCGCATTTGCCACGCGTCAGCGTGGGAAAATTCGTAGAAACCCGCGTGCGTCCAGATTCGAACGCACTCTCAGTCGACCAGTAAGCCCTCGCCACGTGGTGACTCACCAGCGCGCGACTCCATCCCTTAGCGCGTCCGTAACGCGCGCGTCTGTGCTCGTGGGAGTCCCCCTGCAAGCGCGTGAGTGTTCTGTTTTCACCCGTTTTGCGTCCCGATTCCGGTGCTAATCCTATTTTACCGCGAGCTAGAGCAAATTACCCGTAGGTGGCTAGATCTAATGATCCTCTGTACTTAGAGAATTAAATATATATTTGTTGGACTTGCTGCCCTAGTGAGATTTTGTACTCGTTGTTTGTATGCTTGTTGGACTATCTTACTACTGCTTCTATCTCTTCATACTATGTTGGCGAACGGGGGAATTTGTGTATCTGCACTCTGGGTGTTGATGGATGTTACCGCCCCCGTTGAGCTTGTATGATTGTATGCGTTGTTAATCATACATAAACTCCTCTTGAATGATTGTGTGAACTTATGATATGATTGATAAGTTGTAGTGCTGTGATATGCCTAGGGTGAACTCTTGTAGGGATTGAGGCGCTCCGGGTGTTGACGGATGTTACCGCCCCGTTGATCTTGTATTATTGTATGCGTTGTTAATCATACATGAACTCCTATTGAACGTTTGTGTGAACTTATGATATGATTGATAAGCTGTAGTGTTGTGATATGCCTAAGGTGAACTCTTGTAGGGAATGAGTTGAGTTTAGTTAGGGGACCCTCCTGATGTTACGGTCTATGGTGTCGTGAGCGATGCTTAGAGGGAGAGACCCTTTAACCCTGGACTGTTATGGACTTGGGAGAATTGATTTAGTGAATCTGGAAGCCAGGG